TCACCTCTCACAGCCAGAATGACAGACCCCAATTTACTGTGACCTTACCTTCACTTACCAACTCAAAATAACTGTTCACTATCAATATATATTTACCCCAAGGAAATAGACATTATCCTTTTTATACAATTTGCTTTAAAATGAAAATATTAGAAACATGGTACTGAAAATGAATGGGAAACCCTGCAGGACTAAATGGAATTACAGTTTTATGAGATGATGTCATCACACAGTTACACGGTGCATCATAAAACCCAGGCTGTAGCAGCACTGAACTGAGGTGGGCTGTGGGGTTTTCATCCTCAAGAGCAATGTTTCCCAATCCGGTCCTCAGGAACCCACAGTTGGTCCATGTTTTTAATTCCCATCAAGCCCCCTACTACACAGTCCACATTTTTGCTCCCCCAGGAACTGGGAGGGAGCAAAAATGAGGACTGTGTGTGGGTCCCCAAGGACCGGATTGGGAATCACTGCTGAAGGAGACTCACCCTAAATCCAGCCAAATCTGCTTGCACTCCAGATCGGGTTCCAGTCCTGCCTCGGCGTTGCCACCGAAGTAAGTGACGTAGAGGCGATCGATGGGGATCCCAAACTCCTGGGTTAGCAGCTCCAGGGCCATCTTGCAGGCCAGATGCTGCAGAAAGACCAAAACGGCTTTTAAAAAAAATATCTTAAAAACATCTACTACCTGCTCCATAAACATATAAAAACCCATCATCCTCCAGCTTCCACCCTCTTTGAGAACATGAAACCCAGGGATGCTACTCCACCTTGAAGTAATCCCCGAAGGACCAGGAGCCCAGCATCTCGAAGAAGGTGTGGTGGTAGACGTCCTTGCCCACGTCATCCAGGTCGTTGTGCTTGCCACCCGCGCGGATGCACTTCTGCGTGTTGGCCGCACGGCGGAGCTTGGCCATGGGGTGGGAGGGGTCGATGGTGTTCAGGAAGATGGGCTTGAACTGGGGACAGAGAGTGTTTACAAGAATGGGACGAACAGGGAGGAATTACAGGCGCTAATGGGACAGAGCAGAGTTATGGACGCATTTATGATAGGGCATAACTATATAAACAATGTGACATGGATTTATAAGTTAAATTTTATATGTTCATTACAATTTGAATTTAATCTCAGCATTTTATGGTTGAATTTATTGCTCTTATATCACAGATTTAGTGTTTAAAACAATAGAGGCTGCCAGCCCAGCAACATAGTATAGAATAGACAGGAAAAGCTATTCCAAAATATGACACTAACAGTGTGTAAAATGTGTATAATCATGCATCTTTCACCCAAGTCTCCCCAAGCCCATGCAAGGCAGCCTAGTGCACAGAGATCCAGTCAGGAGGCTGTTAGTGCCACACCAGCCCATCTTAAAGTGACGGCGTCACTGGACCTGAGGAGTACCTGGTTCATGCCAGCATTAGCGAAGAGCAGGGTGGGGTCATCCAGCGGAATGCAGGATGACGAATGGACGTATTGGTGCTCGTTTCGCTCGAAGAATTCAATGAACTTCCTGCGGATCTCATTGGCAGTCAGGGACGTGTCCATTTTGGGACCTGCCAATGCAAGACAGGACACCGAGGGGAAGACATTTACACAGGGCCATTGTATCTTCTGTGTACAGGGAAGCCCTTTGTGAAGAGTCTTCAAAACATCCTGGTCCAGATGTGATGATGATTATACTTTATCGCCATTTGTAAAAGTACAACTTAGAGTCAGACGATCAACCATTTACCAGACACCCCTGGAACGACACAGAGCTTAGTTTCAATCAATGTCTTGCTATAGCCGCTAACAACAGCAGGCCAGCCTTCAATATTCGTGCAAATACCCAGAATGCTACCATAACCTGAAAGCCTACAAGGGCCCAGTGGTGATGTGATTACTTTGCTGACCACGGGATCAGAACCAGTGACCTTCCGATCACAGACAGACAGCACAAACCAACAGAGCTGCACTCCGCTGTATAAATACCGCCATATTTATTGTGTTTACTTATTTACCAGCCTGAAGCATTTAGAGTGACATCATACTGCTATATAAGGTAATAAAGATTTGAGGCCCGAAATATGCCAAACAGCCACACATGCGTCTCACGAATACCCCAGGAGTGCTTAGATCAGGGGTGGCCAATCTTACCCGCAAAGGGCCGGTGTGTATGTAGGTTTTGTGGGCAGTGGTGGCTTGATGGTTAGGGTAGCGCACTTGTAATTGAAAGATTGCAGGTTCGAATCCCCCACCAGCAAGTCACCACTGAGGTACCCTGAGCAAGGTACCGTCCCCAAGCACTGCTCCCCGGGCGCTGAATTAGCTGCCCCCTGCTATGTCACGAAAG